ATTTCCCCCACATAAAGTTTGTTGTTCCACTTCTTCCTTTGAGCGGCCGTGTCTCTGCCGGTGTTTCCTCCGATGATCATCCGGACCTCATGTCGGCGCCGCTGGTTACGCCTGTTATCCTCGGCCGAATTATTATCGGAGATCAGCCCAATATCATTCTTGCGAGGGGAACGATCAGAATCTCGCTCTTCATCCCGGGATCTACGCTCATGGCCACGTTTCTGGCCGGACTCAAGTTTCCGGACGAAACGTGTCAAAAAGCCACAGTTAATCAGCTTCTCAATCTCCAGCTTAAGCGTGTGGCATTCATCAATGGCATGCCCATAAAACCTGTGGAATTTGCAATGTGGCCCGGATTTGTCCCGCTGCTGGATTTCACTGATTCGGGGGTCCCGCACTACCAGCCCTTCCTGGTTCGCTGCCTCTAGGATATGGCTGACAGAGTGGGTCAGTGGCGTCAGGACCTCTGGTGCTAGGAGTTTGGGGCCTGTCCAAGAGCGCCTGCCTTTGAAATGGCCCCTGTTCCGGCCCTTATCACCATCATCACGAGGCCTGTCCTCTCGTGGCGGCTTTGGCTTTTCCAGCTGTTTCTGCTCCTGCTTCTGGGGCTTTGAGGTACTCTCATGTGCCCTCTTGCGGCTGTGCACCTCCTCCGCTAGGGCGTAGTTTTGCCCACGGTGGAGTGCCCGCTGATAATCCCTTGGGGGATCAATGATGAGGCTCCTTGAGAAGCCGCCGGTCCACGGGACCTCTTGTAGCATGGCCAAACGGGTGTTGTCATCAGCTCCATAGACCTTGGAGGTTTCTTCATTCCATCATTCCAGGAATTTGCCTAGAGGCTCGTCCTTGCCCTGCTTTATGGACAACAGGTAGGAGAAATGTTTTTTCGTCCTTGCCCTTGCGGCGAAGTGAGTCAGGAAGCGGGTAGCTAGCTCCCTCCATGAGTCGATGCATTCATCAGGGAGATCGTTAAACCAATCGTATGCCTCCCCCTCTAAAGTGGAGGGAAACATACGGCAAATATACTCGTCGCTAGCGCCCAGCATATACATGCCGGACTGGTAGCGAGTATAGTGCTCCTGGGGGTCAGTTTTACCCCCATAGAGCTGAATATTGGGCCCCTTATACTTTGGGGGTATAGGGGCCTGCATAATCCTTGTAGTAAAGTGTGACACCGCACCCGAACGTCCTAGAAATTTAAATTTAATTTCAAAGCTTATGTATTGAATTTCCCTATTTTCGAACGATTGTAAAACGATTAAAGTTTTACGGAATGTATGATTTATCATATTACTATTTGGGCTCATATAATGATAATGGACTCCTAAATAATTAATTGGGCCATATTATTGATATTGGGGCCCAACATCCTTAAATAAAGATATACAACCCCTCGGTACAATGTAAGTGCGGTCGGGCAGCCCAAATGTTATTTTGGTCCTAACCTGCTAAAAATAGTAATTTGTCAAGAATGGCGTCCTAGACCCATTGGATGGTGACCCACACGGTTGGTGGCCTAGATACATAAATATTAATATCATAATTGAATGATAGAATGATTGTAGAAGAATACAAATGCCTCTGGTCCCATCTTTGGCATTATCAGGCTAAATAATGGGAGTAGGGTTTTCTTTTGTAATTATACATCAAATAAATTATTGGGACCATGCTACACATATTAGAGACCAATAATATGATGTAGAAGGTTGACTTGATCTAAATAAATTGGGGAGAGTACAAAAGTACACCTTATGACAAAGGACAAAACGATAGGACCCATCTTTCCACTTTTGGATGTATTGGTTGATATTTTGCTCTCAAATTAATTGGGGGACATGAGAGTACGCCCCACACCTTCCTAGCACCTGCAAAACAGGTAGAATAAGTTAGAACACATAAATGGGGCGGACCTATTGAGTTGAGAGCTCAAACAATACAAAAGAGAAATAAAAGAGGAGGATCATCCCATGTTTGATTGGAATCAAACACCCAACCTTTTATTTTTGGGAGCCACACGTTTAGATAACGTTTTGAGAGCTTCAAAATACCTTTCCCTCACCCTCATTTGAACTCAAAAGATAAGGGGAAGAGAAGAGCCGCACAAAACCAAAGAAAGCAAGAGAAAGGAAAACTGTCCGCAGTGTAAAAATACAGTAGTCCTTCTTGTGCGACTCATATCTTGAGTTTCAATCATCCAATTAAAGCGTGTGAGGTGCCCTCTGAAAGCTCTATAGAAGAGGAATACATAGGCGTGCGGTTTGAAGAAAATGGAGCAGTTTAAGGCCTCCAAATCGTCCGAACACAAAGAAACCTCGCAGAATACGTTTGTGGTATTCAAAGTAAGTTTGAATCCAAAATCTTCCTTTCTATTGCCTAAATCCTATGAATGATTGAAGAACTATTATTCACTGATTTAAGTGTATAAAATGTTATTATAGAGTAACTTTAATTTTTGGAAAGGTTAGATACTAATCTAGACAAAATCTTGAAAGGTTAGGGAACGAATTCGCCGGAAAACACCCGTTCTAGGGACTGTTTTCGTGTCGACGTTTAGGAGTTGAGCTAGCACTGTGATGAGGCTGCTTAACACTCATATTTAAGCAAGGAATCAGTTCTTAATCCACCTTGGCCGAAGCTTTGACCATTGGATCAAGAAGGAGAAATTTAAAGCTCATTTAAGGTGAGGATCGACATCTAGTTGCTTACAACTTGTAGGTTAAGCATGAGATTACCTAAATGCCTAAATCATGTTTTTCATGGATTATAATGACTGATTGTTGATGAAATATTGATATATTTGATAAGGAATGAAATTGAAAATGATTTGGAAATCATATTGATTAAAATGGAGTTAAATGAACTATTGTGTGAAATAGGCATTTTTACCCATGTGTGAATTGTGTAAATACATAAATGATTATTTATGTATCACATTGGATGATTAAGTTGCTGCTACATATTTCTAAATATGTAGGGATTTACAAATGAAATATATAATTGATGGGAATAATCTTAATAGTATTGGAACACTAGTTAATGATTGTTTTTAATTGTTAAGGAATTGAATCTAAGGATTTGATTGTAAGTGATGTACTTGATTGTGGTTCAAGTGACTAAATTGATGTAATGTGATGCTAAGATCATGATGAGGCAGTCCGTAAGGATGTCTCGAAATAGATTATTGATATTACAATTCTAGGCATAGCGAGTGCTTAGGAATTGGGGTCTACACCAATGCAAGGAGATGTACTTGAGCCCGATGCTCTAGAATTGCATTGGGTAGACATAAGGATTTGGTTCAGCCCATGTAAGGAGATGAACTTGAGTCCGATGCTCTAGAATTGCATGAGTGAACATGACGTCGGAGATTGGTGGAGTAATTGACTTGTGAATGATGTGCATGGTGATATTCTCGAGTTGGACTCGAGGAATACAAACATGTGTGTTAGGGTTGAACCCTATGTATTGTCGTGATTAGGGGTCACGGGGTTTGGGTTACGTTTTGAAAAGGGGTAACTTGGGGTTACGGCCTAGATTATATTATCACCCTATTTGAGGGTCTTGTGTTTGAAATACTTGTTGTATATCTATTAGATGCCATTCACACCAGTATTTTATAGCCGTATAGAGTACTGACCCCCTTTCGGGGGGGTCCCACCACCATTTCAGGTTGAGGCTAGAGCTTGCTACCTGTGCTTGTTGATCGGACGATCATCTCGGAGGGAAGACTTGGTTCGTGCTTCCTCCATTCTGTTTTTAAATAATTTAAACATGCTCATGGATATTGTTTTTCATTATGGAGCTTGCGTGCTCGTGTTTGCCCCGTGTGGCACTTGTTTTCAAACTATGATTTCCGCTGCGTATTCAATTACTTATTATGTATGTTTATGGATGACTTATGTGTGAATGATATTTGAGACACCTTGTATAATATGGATGAGTTAGACTGCGGTTGACTATTCATATTGTACGGCGGATTGTTGACGTGTCCGGATAGGTCCGGGGCGTGACATAAAGGGGGTAGCAGTCCTTACCCTTACTGTGACAGGCTCCTGGTTGATCTGGGCCTGGAGTTGCTAGACTTGGAGAGTCAGCGCTTCCAGCTGAGCATCCCGCGCCGTCTGCTGGCGCGGCAACGTTGGCGCTGCTGCTGTTGCAGCGGTCCGGAGCTCATTGACTTGCTGAGTCAAGAGGCGGATCTGTTCTTCCTTGAGGTCCACCTGGCGAGGGCGCCGTGGTGGAGATTCAACCTGCCGCCTAGGTGGTGACAGCCTCGGCTGGCGCAAGGGTTGTTGTTGCAGTTGTTGGCGCGGTGAAGGAACGCGTTGTTGCCTCGGGGCCGGGAGAAGGCATATGCCGATGACATGGGGGGCGAATCTAGGAGAATGATTGCCCCCTAGCCTCTCCAGAGCGGGAACGCGCTCTGGAGTCCTTCTCCCAGGCTGCTGCTGCTGTTGTTGCCGGGGAATCTCGGGCACTGGGGAGTTTGCCCGGTTGATCCCCCGGATATTGACAGATAGGCGCTGATTCGCCATTGATCTGTCTCCCAATCAGAATATGATCCAAAGGTCAGGAGAACCAAGGTGTCCCCGTCGGCCGGGTCTCCATCGGTCATGACTTCGTCGGCCAAACCTTCGTCAGCCACAAAGAGTTCACGGAATCAGATTTCATACTTAGCCAATTACATACTTTGTATTCGGCCCAGTAGAGGCCTCATTGTAATCGGGTCTCCCAAGCCCAAGACTTGGGAGCCCAGCTCACATTCTCTCTATAAATACTCCCTTTGGGAGTAGTTGTGGAGGGTTCACAAATCATTTATTACAGCATTCATTGCACTTCTCTCTCTAGCTCTTACTTCTCTCTAAGAGGTTATACTCTCTATCAGACTTCTTGTACACGCCTAGGCGTGTGCACGCAGTTTTTACCCAATTACACCTCATACCAACAATTTTCTAAAAAATATGTGCTTTTTTATGAATTCACGTGTGCAAAAATACGTACAATCGGTGTATACAAGCAATTTTTTCTATCCAAAATAGTACGCTAAAGAATATTTAATTCATAGAAAGGCACTTCAATTGCAATACCATACATACGAGTACAACATATAAAACACAAGTTTTTTTTTGTTTTTTCCTTCAAAGCTCCGGGGAACTAAAAAGGATAAATTAAAGAAAAATGTGAATGAACAAGAAATTAGAAAATATGACTGAACAACATAACCATTCATGAACAAGGGTACAAAAAATTTCATCCTGATGATGATTATGCTGATCCAAACTCAGAAAACCATTTCTCATGCTTCTCAATGTCAGCTGCAGAAACACTGGGTTGGACTTTCTGAATAGCTTCCAAGAAGTCGCACATTGCGATGGGGTCCTTGGAGATCTCATCCTTGGGCATGCTCTTGATCTCATCCCTTGTCTTCCCTGCTATCTTACGCCTCATCCCATTCAGAGATGCATCCCGGCACACGTTTGTCAAGTCATCCCCACTGTAACCCTCTGTTCTACGTGCCACTTCATCTATATCCACATCTCTCGCCACCTGATCCATTTTTGGTCCCAGTTTTGTTAGAAAAAAGATATGAGAAAGTTTTACAAACTTGTCCATTCATGCATAAGAGCTAGAGCCCCCTCCCACCCAGCTATGTATATGAACCTGACCTCAACCGTTTTCAAATTGATCCGGATAAGCTCCTTTCGGCTCTCAAAACTTGGAAGGGGAATGTATATACGCTTTTCTAAGCGCCTCCTGGATTTTTATGTCAAAAAGGGAGAAAGCACCACATATGATATCTAAAAAGTGGTAACTATATAAAACGAAAATTGTGATAATAAAGTGCAGGATTTGTAATAATAAAGTGCAGCTTGTGACCTCAAAGCCTCATCTATATCCCATGGGAAATTTGTAGCTGCCAAAACCATCACTATTTTTCGTGTTCCATCCTCATTGGTGGAAGAATTGGTTACACCATCTACTTGAACAAGAAGCTCAGACTTCACCCTTCTGGACGATTCATGCTCTCCTGAAGCCCTGTTGATAAAGCAATACTATGAACAGTTATCATAATTCTAGATTATAATATAATAATATAATATGCCACTCAAATACGTTTTTTCAGAACACTACACGAATGGCAGAAGTCCTTTCCATATGACAATACAACAAGGGGTTGGTTTTGGGTGATCGATGCAATCTCATACCCCCTTTAGCCAAAATAGTCTTGTTTAACGTAAAACAAATTATCTTTGCAAGATTCACCCTTTAAGTCATGAAATCTTTCACATGTATAATGATTAATGATTAATGATTATTCATTGGTCTATTTAAATTTATCAAATTTCATTTCATTTTCATTTTCATTTACCCCAGTGCCGCAAAGGCTCCCACCTACGGTGGGGTAGGGGGGTCGGATGTACGCAGTCTTACCCTGTACTAAAGCACAGAGAGACTGTTTCCAGATGACCCATAGTGAAAATCCCGTCCAAAATTGCATGGACTGACTGCTGCTTCATAACAAAGAAGCGCAGACAGTTTAGTGAGCCATTTTGCTTTATTCCATCATAATCTCAAGCCAAAAAATAATGAATCTTTGGCTCCATTTAAATTTATCAAATGTAACATTTTAATTACATTACATACTAATTCTTTTGATCAAATAAGGATCGGTTCTGTTTGACAAAAAATCTAAGCAAAAATGATTTTTGAGAAGGAAAAAGTAAATTGTTAAACATATTCTTTGTTCAATTAAACTTATCATATTGAACGTGTTTGTAACTTCTTTAGGAAAGCTAAAAATTTAATCCAGATGATTAAATAGGAACTCTCTTTTTGTGAACAATTTCTTCGATTAAAAAAACATTGGAAGGAGTCATAATCATTAATACTACCAGATATAGAAGAACAACGAAATATAAATACATGATATCCAGAGAGTCTGCAGCCAGCCAACAAGCAGACAGATACACAATAACATTATCATGAGGAATCTGTTTGATATAGTTGGTTTCAGTTGGGAATTTAGTTAACCGTATTTTTGTATGGAATAAGTCGGTTTAGTTAGTTGGACAAGTTGTTAGCTAGCTAAAAGCATATATAGCCATTGAATGAAAAGTAAAGCAGGCTGTTAAAAAAAATCATTCTGCATCTCCTATCTCTCTCTCTCCCTCTGCAATCTACAGTTTACGATCCATACAGTTCTCGAATTCCTTTCTCTTCTCCATGAGAATTCCTGGACTGTAACATTGGTATCAGAGCATTGATCCTAATTCTACACAACGATTCATCCATTACTACTGCATCTGAGTGTGAACGAAGGTTATACATCACGGTGGAAAAAGTGAAGTATGGTTCAAACTCGTAATTCAACCAGACATGGAAGAAGCTCTGAAAGTCCTCCAGCTAGAGTTTGATCAGAAGTTGGAGAATCAAAACAAGCTAATGATGGATATGATGAGTAAAATCATGAAGAAAGTTGTAGAAATACAGAAGACGAAGGTCGTGGATGAAAATGACGCAGGCGAAGGCAACTATCTGAAAGATATGGAAGAATCATCATCAGAAGAAGAACCAGATGGAGTTGTTGGCAAACTTCCATCAACAAATCAATATGCTTTCAAGTTTAATCCTAAAGTGGAATTTCCTGCATTTGAAGGACAAAATGCGAAGCTATGGATACAAAAATGCGAAAGGTATTTCACGCTTTGCAATATTCCTGATTGTCAAAAGGTTGATTTGGCTTCATTATATCTAGAAGGGAGAGCTGCAAACTGGTTTGGGAACTATGTGGGGTCTAAGAAAAAACTGAAGTGGAAACAATTCATATATGACCTAAGTGCAAGGTTTAATGATAATATGAGCAATAAAGTAGTGGAGATATTTAATAACTTGAAGCAAACAGGATCATTGGAAACCTTCATTGATGAATTTGAAACCCTTAAGGCTGCTATGGTGCAAAGAAATCCTCAGTTACCAGCAAATTATTTTTTGGACTGTTTCTTGGCCGCTTTAAAACCTACACTGAAGTCATTTGTTAAAGCTTTTAATCCTGGAAGCATGGCAGAAGCTATAGAGTTTGCAAGGCTGCAGGATGATACGGTAGAAGCTATTACAATACAGGCTAAATCTGCAAATTTCCAGAAAATAGCTTTAAATAAACCATTACTGCCAACACCAACCCAGCCACCAAAGATGGTTGTTAATCCACCTTAGACTGCTAATGCAAATATAGTCCCCAGAAGATTTGTATCAGCCAATGAAAGAGAAGAAAAAAGAGCTAAAGGCTTATGTTACTACTGTGATCAGCCATTCACTAAAGAGCATAAGTGCAGTCATAAGGGTACTCGGTTGTTTTTGGTGGAAGTAGCAGGTTGTGAAGAAGAAGTTGAAGTGGAAATGATGCATAGTCATGATGAAAACATAGAGATGAACTCTAACATGGAAGGGAACATAACCAACATGGAACCTTTAATCTCTTTCAATGCTATCAATGGGTATGCAGATTTCAAAACTATGAGGGTGACAGGATATGTGGGCAGAAAACCAGTACTGATTCTGATTGATTCAGGCAGTACTCATAATTTCTTGAGTACTAACATAGCCAAGAGATTGGGATGTAAAATGGAACTTATTTCCCCAATACACATAGCAGTGGCAGATGGGCCACAATTAAAGTGCCAACATAAATGTAAGAATTTGAGCTGGAAGATGCAGAATACTCGGTTCTTTTCAGATATGTTGTTACTACCATTACAGGCTTATGATATGGTATTGGGAGTACAGTGGTTGTGTACACTTGGGGATATTACTTGGAATTTTCAGGAACTTCGAATGAAATTCAAGTATAAAGGTCAGATGGTGGTATTGAGAGGCCAAAAACCTGGAAAATTGAAGACTATAAGTGGGACAACCAAACAATTTCAGCAGGCAACTCAACTGTACCTTATACAGTGTCAGCCTGAGGCAGCAGGAGACATTAAATTGAAAGAGGAAGAAGAGCATGTTAGACACTAATATCAGCAAACAGTTTCCGTATTATTAGCAATGGAGATTGAGGAATTCTCAATACTCCAGAATGATTACAGGGAAGATAAAGAGAATAACAACCAAATCTAGAGAAGGAACAAGGAGTTTCTCTCTAGCCAAAGCCCAGCCATTTCTAACTGAATACCAACCTGCCCTCCCCTATTCCCCTCCCTTCCTTATATTCAGAAACCAAACCAGCACATTAATTACTCCTGTCCCCTCATTCCCCTCCTCACATAAACTCCCGTCCCTTCATTCCCCTCCTCACATAAACTCCCGTCCCTTCATTCCCCTCCTCACATACACTTTATTAAAATACTCTACACCCCTTGTGCTATCATTACCCTCCCCTTGAACTACCACCTTGTCCCCAAGGTGGCATGTTGGGAACTGCTTCTGAAACTTGTTTAAATCTTCCCAAGAATCCTCAAAAGCTGGCAGCTGCTTCCAATGAATTAGCACTTCCTTCTCCCCATTAGGATTTACTCTGTAATCCACCACCTCTTCAGGCTGCACTTGTAACTCCCACTCTTCTGAGATGCAGGTAGGTAGGGGCTGGCAGGGAAGGTTAGGAGATACTGCCTTCTTCAGCAAAGAGATATGGAACACTGGATGCATTGTGCAACCCTCGGGTAGTTTCAGTTTGAATGCCACAGGATTTATTTTTTCTATCACTTCAAAAGGCCCATAGAATCTTGGGCTTAACTTCTAATTCATCCTTTTAGCTAGACTTTTCATTTTATAAGGCTGAATTTTTAAGAATACCTTGTCTCCCACCTCCACTTGTAAGGGCCGTCTATGTTTGTCAGCCTGCTGCTTCATCCTGTTTTGGGCCATAGCTAAACTGCTCTTCAATTCTTTTAGCATTAAATTCCTCTCAGCCGTCAACTTGTTGACTTCTTCTACTGATGTCACAGTTACATCTCCCTTCACAATAGCGGGAGGATCTTGTCCATGTAAGGCCTTGTAGGGGGTATTCTTGATAGATATGTGATAATTGGTATTGTACCAATATTCGGCCCATGAGAGCCATTTAGGCCATTGTTTAGGATTCAATCCAGTGATACATCTCAAGTAGGTTTCTAAGCATCTGTTCACCACCTCCGTTTGTCCGTCAGTTTGAGGATGGTAAGCTGTGGAGTACTTCAGTTTGGTGCCTGCCATCCTGAACAATTCTGACCAAAAAGAACTCAAGAAGACCCTATCCCTGTCAGATACTATGGATTTAGGGAATCCATGTAATCGTACCACCTCCTGAACGAAGACTTCTGCCACCTCCTTGGCTGTGTACGGATGTACAAGGGCTATGAAGTGGGCATATTTGGTTAGCCTGTCCACTATCACCAAAATTGTATCCTTCCCATGAGCCTTGGGCAACCCTCCAATAAAATCCATGCTGATATCTGCCCATATTCTGTCAGGGATGGGCAAAGGTTCCAATAATCCTGCTGGACTGAGGGTCTGATACTTGTTTCTTTGGCATACTTCACATCCTTGCACATATTCTTGTATGTCCCTTCTCATGCCAACCCAATAGAATAAACCAGATACTCTCTTCATAGTTCTGAAGGCCCCGGCATGCCCTCCAATTGCAGAATCATGGAATTCTTTCAAAATTAGAGGTATTCTAGGAGATTGCTTAGGTAGTACCAATCTTCCTTGATAATACAATAAGCCATTTCTGAACTTGAAATCTGGTATACTAGCTGGATTTCCTATCACTCTTTGTATGATATTCTGATATCTCTGATATGCCTTCAATTCCTCATCTAGCCCTTCCCACTCTTGACAGGTAACAACGGACAAACTGTGTATACTACCCTTCCTGGAGAGGGCATCTGCTGCCTTATTCTCACTACCGGGTTTGTACTTAATCACAAAATTGTATCCCAAAAGCTTGGCAACCCACTTTTGTTGTTCTTCCCCCATTATTCTTTGTTCTGTTAGAAACCGTAGGCTTTTCTGATCCGTGTGCACCTCGAAGACCCTGCCTAATAAATAGGGTCTCCATTTTTGTATAGCCAGTACGATTGCCATCAATTCTCTTTCGTACACCGATTTATTCTGGTTCCTCTTAGATAAAATCTTACTCATATAAGCCACAGGTCTCCCCTCCTGCATTAAAACTGCTCCTACACCTGTCCCGGAAGCATCTGCCTCAACCACAAAAGTCTTTGTAAAATCCGGAACCCTGAGAACAGGTAGAGTTGTCATAGCTTTCTTTAAGTGTTCAAAGGCGTGAGAAGCCTCGGGGTTCCATTTAAATGCATCTTTCTTTAATAGGTTTGTTAGGGGCGCTGCAATCTTACTATACCCTTTTACAAACCTCCGGTAATAACCTGTTAGGCCCAGAAATCCCCTCAATCCTTTGACTTCTTTAGGTTCGGGCCAGTCCAACATGTCCCTAACCTTCCCCGGGTCAGCAGCTACTCCTTCCCTAGAAATTATATGACCCAAGTAGGTCAGTTGTTTCTGCCCTATTATACACTTTTTAGGATTAACATACAACTGGTTGTCCTTGAGTAAATGTAGGATGGTACTCAAGTGTTCTTTGTGTTCACTTTCTGAAGGACTGTAGATAAGTATGTCATCAAAAAATACTAAAACAAACTTCCTCAAATACTTCCTTAAAATCTGATTCATCAAAGCTTGAAAAGTGGAAGGTGCATTTGTTAATCCAAAAGGCATTACCAGGTACTCGTAATGTCCTTCATGCGTTCGAAAAGCAGTCTTGTGTCTATCCTCTTCTTTCATTCTGATCTGGTGGTAGCCCGATTTCAGATCAAGCTTAGAGAATACCGTGGCTCCTCCCAATTCATCCAGTAACTCTTCAATTATGGGTATGGGGTACTTGTCAGGCACTGTGATCCTGTTTAGGGCTCTGTAATCTCCACAGAACCTCCAACTACCATCATTCTTTTTAACCAAGAGCACAGGACTACTATACGGGCTGGTACTGGGCTGGATAATCCCTGTATTTAGCAACTCCTTCACAATTTTCTCTATCTCGTCTTTCTGGTAGTGAGGGTACCTGTAGGGTCGTATGTTAGGTATTTCAGCTCCTTCCCTAATGTTGATGGCATGATCACAACTTCTTTTAGGGGGTAACCCTGCTGGCATTTGAAAAACCTCCTTATGCTTGTCCAACACTTCCCGCCAAAATCCTCCTGGTGCAGCCCCATTAACAGATTCACCCTGAAGATTCCCACAGGTCACAAAAAAACCTTGGCCTTCATTTTTAATAGCCTTTACAAGTGCTTTCCAGGAAACTTGCACTTGACTTAAAGTTGGATCCCCTTTTAGGCTCTTTATTTTCCCGTCTTCCCACCACTGAAGTGTGAGATCCTGGAAATTGATCTCTACATTCCCCAAACTGGCAAGCCATTCAACCCCAAACACTAAATCTGTCCCTCCCAGCTCCAACAGGTAGAAGTTTTGTGTAATATTAAGGCCTTGCACCCCAACCTGCAATCCCACACACCTCCTATTGTTGCTCACTCTGTCCCCATTACCCAATTCCACCTGAAATCCATCAATTTGGATGTATGGCAATTGTAATTCCTCCACTATGGCTTGTGATATGAAATTATGGGTGGCTCCACTGTCAATCAGGATCAACACAGATCTGTGTAACCCCTTTTTCATCAATTTCCCTTCCAACTTGAAAGTCTTCTGTGTAGTGATCCCTTGTTTGCTCATGGCTGACAGTTGCATTTGTTGCGGTTCTAGGGAGATATCTGTCTTTTTCAAATTCACTTCTGATTCCATAGTATCTGCTTCTTCCTCAAGCCCCTCTGTGAGAATAAACTGATAATATTTCATTTTACACACATGATCCTTGCCCCATCTTTCCCCGCATTTGAAACATAGCCCTTTCTTGCTTCTGTCTTGTAATTCTGCTTGTGTTAGCCTCTGGCCACCCTTCCAGTTATTATTGAGATCCGGTTTAACTCCCACCTTAGGCTCAACTCCCGATTTTTCCTGAGACGCTTGAA